GAGTTAGGAAATTAGAAATGGATAACTATATAAATTTTCTACTGCCAGAGGAAGTATCTGTAGGATAGTCATAAATGAAAATTTCTGTCAGTTTTCTCTGCAGGCACTTAGAAAAAACATAGAGCTCTTGAAGACTACCTCTAACTCAGGAAACCCGAAAATTGAAACTTGGATCTGTAATCTTTTCACTTGTAATACTGCGTCTAAGAAGATCTGTGAGCCTCAGAGAACCCTTAGGCTCAATGCACAAACAAGGGAGTATTATTTGGTTGTGAGCTATGGGATGCCGATTAAGTCTGTTAACATACATCTTTCACATCTTGAATTCAGGGCCTAATCTTCTCCCTTGGCCTTTTTTGCTCTTGATTGATGGTTTCTGGCTTTTTCCTGGTTAACTGGAGGTAAGACTCCCTCCAATTAATTCAAACCTTGATCCTCAGATCTCAGCCTTCTGAATATCCAGGATCAGCTTCCTGAGTAGGTAGGTGCCACCAGCATCCAGCTCTTTATTTTTTTCTTTAAAAAGATTAGGCTTGGCACAAGTGACCCACACCTATAATCCTAGCTACTCGGGATGCTGAGATCTGAGGATTATAGTTCAAAGCCAGCCTGGGCAGGAAAGTTCATGAGACTCATTATCTCCAATTAATCACCAAAAAGCTGGAAGTAGATCTGTGGCTCAAGTGGCAGAGCACCAGGCTTGGGCAAAAAAGCCAAGAGAAGAGTGTGAGGCCCTGAGTTCAAACACCAGTACTGGCACACACACACAAAAGTTAAGTATTTACTTACTGTGTGACCTAACTATTTCAATCCTGAATATATCAAAGAGGAATTAAAATATGTTCTCACGTAACTGAACAAATGCTGGCTGTAGCATTATTTTTAATGATTCAGATAGGAAATAATCCAACTGTCATTCCTTTGGTAAATGAACAAAGTATGACATTTCTATATACTGGAATATTACCAAGCAATAAAAAGAAGTAAATATAAGTCATGCTACAACAAGGGTAAACCTTGCAAGCATGATGGAGAAGAAGCTAGAAGCAGAAGAGTACATATTGTAAAAGCCCAGTGTAGACAACATTTTTATAAGTGGTACTGAAGTTGAGAGCATGAACTGGAAACAAAACAAGGTTCAGGAGCAAAGGAAATGGTCTAAGCTATATTGTCACGATGGTTACACAACAGTAGGTGACATTTTGAGTGTGTATATGTGTGTGTGTATTGGTATTGGGGAACTCAGAGCTTTGATAGCTCTGTTGGCTTGTTTGTTCACAGTTGGTATTCTACCACTTGGGGATAAGTCCCTAGTTTGGCTTTTTGTCAGTTAATGGAGAAAGAATCTCATGGATTTTTCTGCCTGAGTTGGCTTTGAACCTCGATCTTCCAGGTCTCAGCCTTCCAAGTAGTTAGGGATACAGGTGTGAGCCACTGGTACCTGGCTACAATGAGCAAATGTCATGTTATGTAAAATATATCCCAATAAAGTTTGGAAAAGAAAAAAAATAGCAGGAGAAAACACAAAGAAAAAAACTGGGGCATATATATCTGTTTTTTCAAACCAGTGGGTTGACTAAACTGACACCATATATCATTAAACAGGAATTTCCAGTTACTTTCACTATTAACACTATTTGCCCTCAGTTTTATATGGCAATCATAACTTCTGTTAAGTGTAAAATAACCAAAACAATACCACCATAACTCTTAAAACAGGACAAGCTGAGTAGAATTACATTTCTAGATAAATAAACTGAAGGCAGCCATACAAGGTAATTTTCCTTGATCTTTTTCTAACTCATCTTTTGCATTTTCCCTATAGCAAGGAGGAAGATATGTCTTGGTTTATGTAGGAAAGGCCAGCTGTCCTGACAAATTTTAATAGTATCTCTTTCAAAAGTGTCTTTGGCAGGATGATAAACTGTAAGTCAACCTACTGATAGCAGAGTTATTTTCACCTTTATTGACAAGAAGGGGAAATTCTGAGGGCCTATACCATAACATAAATCATACACAATAAAAATTTCACTATTAGAAATTTACAGCTGAGGATATGGTCTATAGAGAAATCAAAATGAGAATATAAAGTCCTTGTGCTTTAGGTTATGGAGTCCTTGGTACTACCATAACTATTACAGAAAAAAAAAAACCCATTTCTACAGGTTGAAGTCATTTTTCTCTTGGAGGTGGTAACTATTACTGTCTGCATGTCAGCATTTGAGAAATTATTTGCTTGTGGTTATAAGTTTCAGTATGAGTTTATATGTAGAATTTCTTATGCACATATAGAAACTTTTCTAGATAAAGAGTTTAGATCCTCAAAAGATTTGTGACATAGGAAAAACAAAGAACTTGTTAGATTGCTTTGGCAGGGTGGTTAAACTTGAAGATGTTATCAAACAGTTTAAATTAAACAGTTATTGAGAGGCAGTATATAAAAATATATGCATATACATCCATATTAGGCATACAAATATTACAGTTAGGTAATGTGGCATTTTAGAATCTATATAATTAAACATGAAGGTCAAGCCATCATGTGATACTGAATGTAATCTAGTAGTAATGACAAAGAGCAGTGAATGCTGGTAGAAATGTCTGCTCCTGATGACTAAACTCTATTTACTGAAGTAACTTTGTCAGTTTCTTACATACTTTTCTCACAACCTTACTTAAAAGCACAAAATGAGAAGTATAATTTGAAGGAAGTAAGGATATTGAGCTGCACTAAATGAAATAATTTTGTGTTCTTATTTATTTGTCAGTTCTGGGGCTTGATCTCAGGGCCTGGGCACTGTCCCTGAGCTTGTTTTGCTCAAGGCTAGCACCCCACCACTTGAGCTATAGCACCACTTCCAGCTTGTTTCTCTTTATGTGGTATTGAGGAATTGAATCCAGGGCTTCATGCATGCAAGGCAAACACTGTATCATTAAGCCACATTCCCAGCCCTCTTATTTTTTTACATAATGAATGAGTTAGTTTTCTTAAGAAGGGAAAATTTTAGCCGGGTGCCGGTGGCTCACGCCTGTAATCCTAGCTACTCAGGAGGCTGAGATCTGAGGATCGCGGTTCAAAGCCAGCCCGGGCAGGAGAGACTGTGAGACTCCTATCTCCAATAAACCACTAGAAAACTGGAAGTGGTGCTGTAGCTCAAGTGGTAGAGCGCTCGCCTTGAGCTGAAGAGCTGAGGGACAAGCGCCTAGGCCCAGAGTTCAAGCCCCACAACCGCCAAAAAACAAAACAAAAGAAGGGAAAATTTTAGCAAAATATTGTTGGAGTGGCCTTATTTTTTTTGTCAGTTGTAGGGCTTGAACTCTGGGCTTGGGTGTTGTCCCTGTGCTCTTCAGCTCAAGACGAGTACTCTACCGCTTGAGCCACCGTGCCACTTCCAGTTTTCTAGTGGTTTATTGGAGATAAGAGTCTCATTGGCTTTCCTGCCCGGGGTGGTTTTGAACCATGATCCTCAGATCTCAGCCTCCTGAGTAGCTAGGATTACAGGCATGAGCCACAGGTGCCCAGCTAGGAGTGGCCTTTAAAAAAAATTTAAAGTTAGTATCCTAGGCTGGGGTGCAGCTCAGAAGTAAAATATTCCTTGAAAATGTAGGGATATTAACATTATTGTCATAGAATAACACACAGTACAACAGTACCATTGTTATTGAAATACTTTCATATAGATTAGTTATATACTAATCTATAAGAAATGCAGTTAAGTGATAAATTAACATTAATTCCAACATGAATTCTTCAGTGCAAATTAAATTGCCACAGAATATCATAACCATCAAAGGTACTCGAGATTCCTGTTGCAATGTCACTTGGTTGATATTAAATATATAGCTAGTAAATATATTCTGATATATACTGACATGGAATTTATAATATTTTCAGGTAATATTATAAAGGTTAGAAATGTGAAATTCTGTCAGCTCAGAAAAAACTAAGAAGGGAATTCTCTCTTTGTTGGCACTAGCTCATGATGTCACTCTGTAGTAGTACTGGAGAAAGGTAATGGCAGCTGGGAGGGATATTGGTATAGATGTGAACAGCAGTCCCATTTGGCTGTGTAATGGACAGCAACAGTTTTGGGAGGAAGTGATATACCCACCCATTGCTTTGGAGGGGCTTGGGGAAGTAGGTGGCACTTTGGAAAGACCCTTGGTTCTTGGTCATGTAGAAAGTTCTGGTATCTGGGTATATACTAGTACTGAGCCTTGTCTGGGGGCAACACACCTCTGTCCTCTGGCTGCAATAAAGTGGACTGCTGTCTTGTAACATATATTAATCGGTAATATTTTATTACCTTTTTATGTTTTTAAGACACTGGAAAAGCAGAAGGTTTGTTTTGGTCCTGGTCTATTTTCTATGTTAGCCTTTCCATGCTTCACATGAATAACCACAAAAGGATATTCCTCCAAGTTTAGAGGGCTCAGCAAATATGAGCACACTGTCTACAAAATCAGATAACAGCGACTTTCAGGCAGGGGATTCTGTTAAGACTACAAACTCTCTACTTAATGAAGAGAGTTCTAGGATTTTCCTGATATGCCTTCTGGGCAGGTTCAGTTTCAGGTGTCCTTGCAGGATGCCTCTTTCAATGCTTCAGTCTATGAATCAGTGAGTATAAGGTTAAATTTAGCGCTCTGTCAAAAAATTTTTTACCCAGAAGCAGTTTTTAATAGCAAGCTCTAAGCCAAACAACTTAAATGGTATATGAACAATGTTGAATAAGAAGAATGACAGAAAAGTTGTAAAAAACAATCAAAGCTTAGATCCTCTTGCCACAGTGATGGGCTTTGTTCTTTTTCTTGGTTTCTCTTCTTGTTCTCCTATAAATTCACTAGATCTTCACCTACATTTCATTCCCCATTTTTAACCCTCTCCCTTTCCCTTCTGACCTCCAAGACTACTTTAAGTAAGGTAGTGTGGTTTATAAATTTATTGTCAGGGAAACAGTAGCTAACAAGGTAATTAAAATTGATTTCCCAAAACTTACCATCAGAGGGCACAACAGTACTGCAGTAAACAGCTCCTAGGTTCTGCCAGGATGGGAGCCGCTGGTGCACCTACAAAAGAATCAAACCAACTGTTAGGAAAGGACAAATGCCATGCACATGTATGCCACATCAACTTTTGAGTACAGAAATCACATGTATTCCTTGTAGAAAAAATTTTAAGTACAAAGAAAATAAGCCTTTTAAGCTCATATCCTAACAGTGAACATTTTGATGCTTTGATATTATAAACACATTTACATACACACATGAGCACAAATATTACACTAAACAAAGATTAGACTTATATCTGAACAATACTTTTTACTTACTTTAAAAAATAATGGTTTAAAGTGCAATCATATCAAATTTTGAGGGGACTTCTTGCTAGCTTTTAGATCTGTACTTCCTTTTTTTAAAAAAATCTTTTGCCAAGTATAAGGCAGCTACCAAGTAGAGGCAGCATGAATTTACATTATTTGAATAGGCACTGGGTCTTTCTGCTCAGTTTCCTCCTTTAACTGGAAGGCAATCTCTGTCCTTGCATTCTTAATCTCCACCTACAGTGTTAGAAGATTATATACATTCCTTTACTACTTCATCAATGTGGGTGTGAATCTAGAATTTAGGTTCTCATAATCAAACTAAGCTTCAGGAAAAAAATGAAGACATTCCTAACTCACCAAATGCTTAGTTTTTGGTTTCTTTTTTTCTAGCCTCAAAAAGGTACCAAAGGAGAAACAAAGAAAGAAAAAGAGAAAGAAAGGAAAGAAGAGAGAAAGAAGGAAGGAAAGAAAGGGAGTGATTAAAAACTGATGCATTATCCTCAAGGCCTGTTATCTTCCAGGGCATCACTCCAAAGGTAATAATTTAGGACAGACTATGATGATGCATACCTTAACAGCAACAGCACTATTTATGTGAACATCACTAATCCCCTCCCTCCTTCCAACTGGGAAACAAACTCTTACAAAACATGGAAATATTACCTACAATAACTAGAGACAAAGTCCTTAGCTAGTTACCAAACTAGGCTTAAGTCTGATTCAGTAGGATTCAATTTTAGTTATGTTTAAAAAGTAGAAATATAACTGATTTTCTTCTAAAACCAACACAGCTGTTCCATATGGTGAACAATTCATCTTTTCCTCACTTTAATTGAAATGTTATCTTTATAATTTTCCCAAATCCTATTAAATTGGACCTACTTCTGAATTTCTAATATGTTTGCTCCTCTATTAGTAACCACATTGTTTCAACATTCTAGTATTATGATATATCTAAATATCTACAATAGTTAGTTTTCCCTCATACTTTAAGAAATTTTCAGCTGGTGGCTCACACCTGTAATCCTAGTTACTCAGAAAACTGAGATTTGAGGATCGTGGTTTGAAACCAGCCTAGGCAGAAAAGTCTGTGACTCAATTTCCCATGCAGACACTCCAACACTCATCAATTAGGCTAGGAGTCGTTGTGCAGCAACTGCACTCAGCTCCTAGGGCTTCAGAGTGCAACCCTGAAATGCAGACCTGCTGGGTATTTAAGGTTGCAAACCACATGCTGGTAGCCTTTTTGCAATAAGCCAGTGCAAGCAAAATGCAGGTACAGCAGCGAGAATTACACAGTTATCAGGAATTCGGTGGTTGGGTTGGTTTCCCTCTCATCCATTTCTTGGATCTGCGGAGGTCAGGCTTGATTCCGGTTATTCAGGTCATTGTGACTTCTGGGTCACCCCTGGCCTGGAGAGTCCCTCATGGTGGATGCTGATAGTTTTATACAATTTACTGAATTCCAGTAACCCAGTGTTTAACTCCCTAATTTACTTCAAGCCTTTATCCTTAGAATTTTCCCTTTAATGACTAACCTGGAGGTTCTGCCTTTAATGTTTTGCCTTTATAGTCTCTCTCTCTGTCTCTCTCTGTCTCTCTCTCTCTCTGTGTTGGTTGTGGTGCCTGAACTCTGGGCCTGGGCCCTGTCCCTCAGCTCTTCAGCTTAAGGCTAGTACTCTACCACTTGAGCCACAGCACACTGCTGGGTTTTTTTTTGCTTATGTGGTGATGAGGAATTGAACCTAGAGCCTCATGCATGCAAGGCAAGCACTATACCACCGAGACACTTTCCCAGCCCTGCTTTTATTCTTAATAATCAATAATCAGTAATTTTGTTTCTAATCCACATTTTACATTCTTTGTGTGTGGGGGGAGGCGGGGGGGGGGGGGTCATCACACTTTTCTCTAATAAAAACTACCCAGAAAAAAACCAGAAGTAGAGCTGTGGCTCAAATGGTAGGGCACTAGCCTTGAGTACAGAGAGGCTGAGGGACAGGGCCCAGGCCCTGAGTTTAAGCCCAGGTCTGGCAAATAAATAAATAAATAATATTATATTATTTATTCAATTTATTCTTATTTATTCATTTCTCCACATGACATTCATTCATTTGATAGTACTGCAGACTGAACTTAGGTCCGTCCGCATGTCAGGTAAGCACTCTACCATTTGAGGAACACCCCTAGCCATTGTTTTTTTGTTATTTTTATTGTGAAAATACTGTACAGAGGGGTTACAATTACATGGGCAAGATAATGAGTACATTTCTTATCAAGCATTGTAGCCTCCTCCTTTGTTTCCCCTTCCCATCCTCCCCCCCCCCCCCCCAACAGCCATTGGTTTTATATTTGGTCTTTGACATAAGGTCTTGTTAACTTTGCCCAGGTTGGCCTCCAACTTGCTATTCTTACCTCACCTTCCATATTACTGGTGCCATGGGCCACCTTACCTGGAATCCACATGACCTTTAAGGTCAGTTATCTATTTTTACACATACCACATACAATCATAATAGTTAAAAATCACAATGTAGTGGTTAAGAGCACAGAATCTGAAACCATCCTGCCTGCCTTAGGGAGGTTCATTAGCATCTCTATGCCTTGATTTGGAGTAATACTAACATTTAATATAGGAAATTTTTGAGGACTGAGTAATCGATATAGAGCATTTAGAGCAGTGCCTGACATAGAACATGTGCTCACTATGTGTAAACGCATTATCTGCCTGGCTTAAGATAAAGAAATCTACCGTCCTGTCCTTTACAATCTGTATCGTTACACATTTTAAAGACTCCCTTATACAGATCCTGTTTTGTTTTTTGTTTTGTCCAATATTATATTGTCTTGTCCTAAATTTTTTAGTTTGTGAGTGACAGTACCTGCCAAATAACTTATATGATAAGCAAGCTTTATACTACATAAAATTATTTTCGAATATAAAAATCCTATCTCTATGAGCATAATAATGACCTAATTATAGTTATGCTTTTTTTCTTCCTCTCGTCTAGTGTAGTTTATTACTCCTCTTAGAATTTATCTTTTATTCATCTATGCATCAACTACTTACTTCTGCCTACTCTTCTCTATCCTAATATTATCAATCAATTAGCCAATCAATCTACGCAGTACTAGGGTTTGAACTTGGGATTTCACACTTGCTAGGTTGGGTTATACCATGTGAGCCATTTCCCTAGCTCTAGATTTTGCTTTTAAAAAATGACAATCTAATTTTGTCTCTCATTTTTCCTGTTATTGCTTGTAATGTTATTACATTGTCAAGCTTTAAGAATGTATATTCTGTTTTATAAACCTAACTTCTACATGTTTAAGTTTTATTCTATTGGTCAAATGGGCTCTGTGTTCTCTGCTAATTGTTGTGTGTGTGTGTGTGTGTGTGTGTATGTGTGTGTGTGCACGCGTGCTGGTCCTGGGGCTTGAAGTCAGGTGCTTAGATTTTTTGCTCAAAGCTAGCACTCTACCACTTTAGCCACAGCTCTACTTTTGGTGTTTGGTGGCTATTTGGAGATAAGAGTCTTACTGACTTTTCTTTCAAGGCTGGCTTTGAATCACAATCCTGAGGTCTCAGTCTCCTGAGTAGCTAGGATTACAGGCATTAAGCACCAGCACCTGGTTTGCTAGTCCTTTGTTTTTCAAAAAGGTCTCACATATTTATTCCTGGCTTGCTAGTCCTTTGTTTTTCAAAAAGGTCTCACATATTTATTGCTGAGCACATAGTTGGGGCCATCAGTGAAAAAGAGAAATCAGATTTCCAATTTAACATGCTGAGCTGCCTAGGCAATGTTAACATTTTGGCTTGATAGGTTGACCCTGACCGACATAAATATGTGTACCATCTCAAGCAATTCCTCACACACCCATTTGGGGTCTTCTCCAGTATCTACTCTTAGACTTGCACCTGATATTACCTGTTGTTGTTGTTGTTCCCCATTAGGGAACAGGATGATTTTGCTTTTGTTTCTTGACCAGGAATCACTTGATTCTGAAAGTCTTGTGGGAAGCCAGGCCAAGTGCACACACAATGATGGCAGAAAAAAAACCAGAAGTCATTGCCAATTCTTTACTAGTAGTTTCTGCTTTTGTTTCTTTGTTGGCTGAACTTGTTCCTAGAGAAGACCTCATGAGAACTAAGTTACCTGGCGCTTGATATATTACTTCCTAAATTAGTCTTTCCTAGAAGACTTGATAAACTGTTAAATGTTGCTTTGGAGAAGTTGGAGGCCAGACACTTCTTTTGGAGAACTGTGACCCAGAATGGGAACCTGAAACCCTACCTGTCATCTCATGGGACCTACTTGACCTTCATTGGGTCTGGCAGCCTTTCTTTATCTACTATGCTTTGAAGTTGCCTAGTTGTGCTGAAGATGGAACTTTTACTTCTGTTTCTTATTCTCCTTCCTGTTTTAAGGCATGAGAAGGGGGGAAAAAACTGCTGCCTTTGCTAGGCCATTATTTGTTATGTAGTATTTTTTTTTTTGTTTTGTTGGTTCCAGGTTTGAAGTCAGGGGCTTGTGTTCCCATCTCGTTTGCTTGTTCTAGGCTGGCACTCTGTTATTTAAGCCACCCCTCCAGCCTGGTTTTTTGCTAGTTAATTGGAGATGAAGCCTTGTGGACTTTCTGTTTTGGTTGGCTTTGAACCTCTACTTTTCAGCTCTCAGCCTCCTAAATAGTGAGGATTACAAGCATGAGTCACTAGTACCTGGCTATAAAGTAACTTTTAATACAGAC